GTGAATAACAGTTGCCCTTCCTGCGAGGGCCCCACGGAGTGTTCCCTTCCCCGGTGGAAGCCTCCAGCTCCACCTTCCCCCATTGTCTGCTTTGGTTATGTGTGATCGCTTCTATGACAGTTTATTATTATTCTGGTGTACTCTTAATAAATACGTGTGTGTTAACATTGGTCTCGGCTTGCCGTCTACATGAATGACTGTTGCCATGATCGAGCTTTCTAGTGGAATTACAGAGCGTGGAAAAAAACAGAAGATAACGGACGAGGAAGAACGACTGAGTACCGGCCCTGATCGGAAGGGCTGTATGCTATACACGAACCCCAGTACGCTCGGGCGTTATAGGAACGTTTCTCCTCACTTGGAGTGCTACAGGCGCGAATTCCTCCGCCTTATCCTCCACCATCCTGTTTCAGAAGTTTTTCCATTTTCGCAATCTGATGACGAAAAATCGAAAAAAGTACGTTTCGGGACACTTCCTTCTTCAATGCCCACATGGGTGTTAACACACCAGAGATAAAACGTAGCTGTAACAGTCGTGTAGCGAATAGTCTAATCTTTCTGCTGTGGTAACGCCCTTACTAGGTGTTGTGAGTACTCCAACAGAACACGGGGAAAAGGGACCTCCCGTGACAGAGAGGACGTTATGCTTAATTACAGGAAGATTAGAGCCAGGGATAAGGTAGGGGTTGGCATCTGGGTTAAGGCTAGTGCTATGCTTAGGCCACGGGAGAAGGTAACTTCTTGGAATTTCACGCATGTTCACCTCTATTACAGAGGGGGGGAAGGCGGGTGACAACAAATGGAAATAGAAACCACCAACCTACCCAGGAGCCTTGTGCTAATTCCACAGAAATTCGCATTAAGGCTAGCCGTAGGCGTAGAGTTAGGCTAGAGGTTAATGTGAAAGTTTGACTATAGGCTGGCATAATGGGAACATTTGCGTGTTATGAAATGCTGCTTGAGGCCACCTGTTTTGCCGCGGCGAGGGGTTTGATTCCCATGTCATAGCAGGGAGCATGTGTCCCTATTCCCACGGCTTCACGATAGGCTTGTGTTACAGTTCCGTCCCAACAGTGCCGTGCCGATTTTTTCTGCGAATAAGCGTCGGCAGGCTCAGGTCTGCCCTGTTGTCGCCCGCTGATTGGTCCCTCAACAGCACGACCTTCAGACACGTGTGGCTCGTAGGGATGCGTGCTTGTGGCGGCAAACTTGGCTACAGAATTCCAAAGCAAACGCATGTTTTGCAGGGAGGCGTCACGATGCTGAATTGTTCGCTTGGGTTTCATAAACACTACCTGCACCAAATTGAAGTGAACTTTAAGAGAACCTAACAAAACAGAATGGCCTGAGTCAGAGAAATGGCGCTCAAATTGAAGCACGAAAACATATGGTGAAACTATAATGCGGCTAAGAGAATAATTGAAAAAAAGCTATTGACGAAAATAAGGTCATAGAGGCTTAAACGACTAAAGAGGCGTAAAACAGTTTAAACGAAAGCGCTACCTAAGTGTCTGAGATCTTAACAGGAGGGTGACAACAAACATTCTCGTAGGAAATAGGAAATGTGGCCTGAGGCATCTCCGTAGGACGAAAAAGTAATATGGATGCCAACACGTACAACATCTTTTAATCGTTTTGGTAAATGGAACTTGCTCAGGACAGCTACGACGTCTATCAGGTCTGGAGAATGGAAATGCAGAGAGTTTTGGCGAAAATAGTAACACCGTCCCCTGTGCTGCCGTTTTGGGACGATGGTGTAATTAAGTGCGCATCTGTAGTGGAAATCAGGTATATCTGCTGAAGATAAAGAGCATTAATTTTGCTTTTCTCTGTTTATCTCGGTAGGTGTATATCAAAGGTTTTGTCAAGAAGGGACAACAGTTCAACGAAAGCAAACTTTGGGATGGACAGAAGAGTGGCCTATTGACCTCAACAGTATACGATATAAATCGCGAATCATGATAACTGAAGTATAGAAGATCATTTCAAAGCAAACTCAGCACCGTGCCTTTTGACACTCGTTGATGAACGTTCACCTACCGCTAACGCAACTCACTTATCCCGCTTCACCTTTGCCTTGGACCTCAGTCCTCGGGCCTTGACAGCAGCTAGTAGTATGGGTAGATAGTATTTCCGACAAAGACAAGGCAGACTAGAATGACCATTTCTGGCTCGTGTGCAGTCGTCAGCCAGTCACACCTAGCCCCCAGGTGGTGCACCACCGCGCGAGGCTCGAACTCGCGATCTTTTCAATCAGAGTCTAATGCCCTAGCCAGTGAGCTACGAGCTCTTTTTCTTGCTGTTTTAGGTCGGAAGATATTGACACTCGTTGCTGAACGTTTACCGATCGCTAACGCAACTCACTTGTCCGGCTCCGCCTTTGCTTTGGGCCTCCGGTCTCGGCAATGAGAGCAGCTGTGGCAACTAGTAGTATGGACCCATAGCAGGGCCGACAAGGACAAGGGTGTGCGCATTTTTCTTATAACAGATGGAAGCGAATGTGCACAGGCCGGTTTCTTGTTGGAAAGAAGACGAAGACACGATTACTGGGATGGTCGATTTACTACTCTGAGCTTCTAGAATTAAACAGGAAGTCACCATCGGAGACTGTTGTAGTGCAAAAATGTGTGAACATTTATACAGTTATACTGTGGACGTAGGGGGAGGTCAAAGTCCTCGAACCCAAATAGGCCGTTTGGTGAGGCAACCCGGTGTCTCAACTTACCACCCACGCAAACGAGGAAAATCATGAAATTTGGCTTCGTGAGCACGCGGAGCGACAACAAGATGGAACGGAAACTGTTGGAGACGTGAGTTTCCAGCACCAACTCTATAAATAGACAAACTAACTTACCCCCGTGTTAACACACGCTATGCTAACGCCGCCAGGGGCAAACACCGCCACCAAGCTGTGAGCCCACCGTGAGCCAGGCGATGCAAACCAGACCCAGACACGGATGTTAACCACCTCCATGGTACGACTGCATATATTTTCACACACTGTTGCACTCCAACAGTCCCTGAAGCTGAACTCCTCTTCGAGTTCGAAAGATCAGACTAATAAACTTGCCGTCCCAGTGTTTATGCCTCTGTCTTCTTTAAAATTTTACCCATTTATTCAAAGCCTTACAGAAAAGGTCCCGTTTGCTCTGTTGACTATATTTCTAAGTTATTTTATCAGACAAAAGCCCATTTTGAATCTGCATACTTTTGTGCAAAATGCCGTGGTAATGCTCACATCAAAATTTCATGGAAACAACTTGAACTCAGTCATCAAGCATTTGACTAGCTGCCACACTGCATTTTCGAAGAACATTTATCCTGAAATTTAAAAAATGCAAGCTTACTATTATGCTTATTTAGGTTTACAGCATCCTATAGATAAAGATAACATAATTTTATGATTGTTCGCATTCTGGGCAGTTAAGCATATCTTACAGAACACTATTTCTAGCAAAATAATTTTACTTCTAATGCTTCTTTTGTGTGTTCCACTGACTAAAGTTTATTCATTGTTAATAAAAAGCTAGGGAAATTGGTCGGAGAATGATCGTTATCGGTAAAGAATAAACATGGTCGAACACTGGAACGATTTGTTTGTTATTCTGAGCTTTCGGACTCTGACAGGAGTCCATCGTTATAGATGGGAAACAGCAACAATAGAGCGACTGGTTATAGCGTGTGAACAAAACGGTTAAAAGCTAAACGTGTAAAAAATCGATAACTGTTTGGCGTGGGCGCCGAAAGCCCACGTCAGCAACGAAAATGGGGCAATTCTGGAGGATGCGGGCCCAATTAACTATGACGGACTTCTGGTTGTGATCGTATGTAGGAGGGCAAGGCTCTGTACGCCAGCGCCAATTTCCCGTGCATTTCAGGAGTAAATGGCAATTGCCACTCGCATCATACGAATCGGGACGTCGAAGCGTTGACTGATCCATACGCGTTGAAAAGCGCTGCCGATAGCATGGGAAATAGTGCGTGCATTTTCCGCGTACTTCACCCGAGTCCAAATGCGGGGTCGCCGCTACATTGTTGGCAGGAGAATAACGAAAAAGTAATGCTTAAGGATTATCCGGCGCGGACAGTGCGTGCGTTAAATGTTGCAGGTAGCTCCTAACGCAGCTGATGAAAAGTATCCACCCAGTAAGTGTGCAGGAAAGTAATAGCGAAAGTTTGAAGACGAATACCTTTGTGGCAGTAGAACATCGAGTTCCTCGGAATCCGGAATTTCCGCCAAAATGAACAGACTTGAATTATCTGCTAGCTGATCTGAATAAGATCACACTTTTAGAAGGCAGTAAGACCGCAAAGGGCAAATTATGTGTAGTTGGATATTTTAGATTTGCCTTGAAGAGACCCCAGCATTACGATGTAGGGGTCTAAGCCGTGAGTGTGCTCAGAACACTACAACTATCACGCCCAGTTGCGTGCAGGAAGAAGAGGAGTAAAACCAGTAGGAGTTGGTTATTGTGCATA